AGGAAGCTTCTGAAGCCCCCAACAAGACACTCCAGAAACCGATGCTTGTCAATCACCAATCTTTTCGGGTGTCCCAAGGGAACCCTAACCTGCTTTACTGTCAAGATTGGATCAAAAAGGGCAGCGAACGACAAACGGAACATTAAGTCATTCCCATGATCCATGCAGACGAACCAACCGACATACAGAAAAGAAATTCAATCAGTGATCGGGACTCGGAGGGATCCTAAGAATTTTTTGCAAAAAACCATAGCCATATACTTCACCGACAGATAAGGCGGTGAATAAAAAGCGAAAAATCCTACAGATCCTGGATGAGATAGAATGAGGGAGCCAGCCCCACATACTGCATCCGTGACCACACCTACAAGATGTGTACACTAACTGTTCACCTCTATCCACCAAAATACAGCAGGCTTTTAATCCTTATGCGAAGTAGAAACGCGCCTCAATCGCTACCGGACCAGCGATGGTCGATGCCAGAGAGTGGAGCCGGTGGCTCCCAACTCTGGCCAATGGAAATTCACCACGTGATAAGTCATGCCACTGCATATGCATGTGCAAACAAAGACACAAATAATGACTAATTGCAAAGAGGAGGAGTTAGAGGCCACGTCACCATTGGTTAGACGAGAGAGAAGGGGGGAGAGTGAGGTACAAAGCTTACCCTGGACAACACCAATCATCCCCCCAGCTTCTGTATTAGTCACGCCAAGCTCCCTCTGGTCTCATCACTGTGGCAAAAGTAGCTTTCCGCTTATCGATTGTCTCGAGACGGAGGCAAAGTACCTCGACGAATGCGTCTGCAGGGTAGGCCAAGACAACATTCCCTTATCTATTTTGAGATCAAGTATCAGATCAGAGAAGAGACACCTGTAAGCATTATTTAATGTTAGCAATGTTGGCGACTAGGAAGGTTTCCATATCGTAAAAAATCAATGCAACTTACTCATTGAAGCATAAACATCGAATTTTCCGGAAAAAATAAAAAAGTAACCTTACAAGGGGGCATTCAGGGAATCACCTGCCGTGAATAGCTGAGTGAGAAAAGTCGAGGAATAAAATCGATAACCTCGTCTGTTGGCTAATTAAGGCGCCTTGTGCTGAGCCAACACATAGCAGACAAATAACTTATACAGGTCTGAATAACAGCCTTTTCCAAATAAGGATCATCTCCCGGAACGAAAAAAAAGAAAACAAAAAGCCTCACCAGAGTGAATACCTGACGAAATGAAGGAACCACGTCAAACGCAAAACTGTCTTGGTTGTGGTGTCTGTGCACGCCAACTGCAGTGGTTAGCCAATAGACGAAGCCTCGACCTTGGCGGCAGGGAGGTGATTGGCGCATGGCGATGCAAAAGCGCAGTGCACTCACCAATGGCTTGCGTAGAGGACATTTTGAAAAGGCACACGCCCTGGCCAATGGATTTTCGCACAGATGACTGCTCCTGTCAAGAAAAAATCAATACTTGACAAGATGAGATGATAAGGTTGGTGGAGCTACGGTGCGGTTGTGTTGAGGCCATGATAGTGGAGGAGGGAGGTTTGCGTGTTGCCTTATGTGTACTACTGGTAGCGTGCATTTTTCATGCCGTTGTTATGACAGCGCCACGGTATCCATATTGTAGGTCAGAATTTGTGGTGCACGAGAGATAAGTAAAACCCTGGCGATTTTGTTTAACTCCAGGACTGTGGATAACGCGGAGTGTGTGTGTTTATAACAACTGGAGGTATAGGGGGGAGGGGTCAGGGAGAATATATTTTAGCAGTTATCTGTGAAAGAATCAACAAATCGGAGGTTGAAAATAAACTACAGCTTAATGACTTTCGCGTGGCAAGTTTGGCGGGCGGTTAGTGCACCCTGCCACAAATAAGGTGGTGAGTAAGGGGTGGTGACCATTTCTAGGGTTGTGGTGGTCATGTTAGGAGTTTTGGCGACGACGTACGTACTCTAGGGGATCCAATGATGTGTAAGGCTGCTTCAGATTGCCGTTCAGGCGATTTTGCATCATTTTTTTCGACTGAGTTGCTCATCAACACTATTAAATGAGGTCTACGGAAGAAAAAGTTGGGCGGAATATCGGTCAGTAGCGCCACGAAACTGAACTCTCTCTACTCAACTTGGGGCGTTACCGGAAATTAGAGCTCACTGGAGGCCTAGTAAATATTTACCCTAAACCCTCGGAAGTTACTCTTCCACAAGCTCACAAACTTGCATGTGAGATGCTTTAAATTAAATTCCGCTAAGTACTGCCCATTTATCAAATTAATTCGATTCTACTTAAGCACCTGAACCGCGAAGGGTGAGGCAGGAGGCAGAGGGAACAAGCAAAAAAATGGCTCTAATTCTCATAAAAGCACTGGGCCTAAGAGAAAAAAAAATTATTGTTGAGACTTATCGTTCCACTTTCCCAAGACTATACAGCTCTCCCATACAGCACTAAAAGCGGCTTGAATAAAGTATCACCACCGAAGCATCGATTGACTTGCACTAAAAATCGATTTGACTGACGCGACGTTATACATGCGCTCGAATGCATTTATCGATTCACTGACCGTAATTAGCACTCCGTTGCGAGCGCGCCCTGAAATAAAAATCGATAAACTAGGGATGAACTTAGACTCTGGCGCTAAAAGGGGGTTTGAAGTTGGTGATGGATCGGAGGAGGGGAGTGACAGTGTTGCAGAGAGGGGTGTCGTGGTGATATCGTCGTGGGTCCTGTTTAGGAAGGCAGGGTATAACAAAAGCGATAATTTGTCACATCAACAGGCAGGCATGCAGGCAGGCCATACACACGCGCACACACAAACATAAGCGCGTACACGCACATACAGTAAGCAAGCCGCTGTAGCTGCTACAACCCGCCTGTGTGCGTGAGATGACGCATTCACGTCTCCCTCACTCGCTGTCTCTCTCTCGCATTAGCTCTATCTCTGCTTCTAACTTGTGTGCGTGTGGGCGTGTGTGTATGTGTATGTGACCTTGAAACCAGCAGTTTATTGGTAGCTGGAGAAGATGGTAATAGCCAGCATTGGGTATTGCGTGTACGGCGGACTGGGCTGACTTCCGTTCAGCGTTGTGATGTTGACGTTGATGGTGGCGTTGGTGTACTGCGGGGCTTTTTTGCGTGTGTGTGTGCGTGGGTGAGCGCGCTTGCGCGCCATAGTAACAACTGCCACATAAACGAAAGACGAGCAGCAGCGGCGATGGTGGCTCGTCGAATGTCCATTCAAAAACACGCATGTGGTTGTGTGTACGTAAATAGGTGTGACCTTGACGCCCAAACTTATTCATGTGGTGGCAGTTTTAGAACTCAAGCTTTTGTGGGGTAGGCTCACTGTTACATATTCCGACCCTTCGATCTCTGAGGTGGTTGCACTAAGCTTTCAACCCTTCAATGTATTTACGGCTAGGCACCTTTGCGACCTCGTCAAGGGAAACTTAATCCCTGCTACAGAGCGGTTTCGAGACTTCCTACTTTCTAGTGAAGAAGATGACTGCATTTCAGGGAGGGATGGGACAAGTATTGCATTCAATAGGATGAGCACGTTTCTGTGGCACTCTTCTACCCTCCTCTTCCTACTTCCAACTGGATTATGGTCTAGGGTGATTTGCGTCTGATCTGTGAATTGATGCATGGCAGTACTCCGGAGGTAGATGTACCTAGGTTCGTTACGACTCCAGAGGCCGTGAGTTGAACATGACAATAAGGTTCAAGGTCTAATACGCACTCACCTTCAACCTACAGCTCTACCAGGATAGCTTGAATTGTCTCCTATCCTCACTTGTGAGGATAAATGGCATTTGTAAAACGAACCGATCATTGGTTAGCTCCACCCTCCCCTCATCCAAACGATCCACTGTCCCAGTTGACACTTCTAGGACAAGCATCATTTCACATCCCCCGGGAACTGAACCAAGGTGATGGACGGCAGATATTAACTTCAGTTTTCTCGAAGTCTCAGCAATCACAGTGGAGAACCACTAGGAATAGTGAGCTTACTGCCACTCGGGAAAGGATGTGAGAGGATAGGAGAAACGAAAGTATTGACTTTTTGTCTCATTTGGAAGGCAGTAATAATCTGCAACAGCGTTACAGAGGCCTCGTGTCCACGACGTGTGGAGCAACTAGTAGAGCTCCCTGTGGTACGATTCTATAATCATTACTGCACCTGGAATTGACAGACGCCTTGGCTTTGGGTTGTGTGATGAAATTTGGAGACGGTCACCGTGGTTCCTAGTTAAAGAAAATGACCTGAAACAGAAGCTGATCCGACCACCACAACAGCGAATTCACTTTTGGAGCAATTCAATCCTCAAGATTCACCTTCACAACATTGGCGTCAAAATGTCGTTGTAATAAGTACAACAGGCATTTGACAAGTTCCATGCTGAGGGTCAGAGTCCTGGTGGAATAGGAAGATGAAGCCTCTAGCCTTGCGTTTACTTCTCCTTCTCAGGCAAAATGATGGACTGACTCCAGCAGATCTCTCAATGTGAATCTCCCCTTCCTTCCCTGCTCTACAACGCCACAGCCACCCCCTAGAAATCCTAGAAGATTCATTGTAATTAAAGCTACCTTCCAGACCGTAGAGTAGATCCCAGTGTGCGACTGCTCCCCTTCCTCTACTTCACCGATTTCAGGCGTTACACCAACACCCCTAATCCTCTTCCTCAACAGCCTTGCACTTTACCGCTCCTCAATCCTATTTACGAGGTAAGCAATTTTTCCATAAAATCGATTTCAACACCACTTAAGGCCCACTCAAAATGCCATTTAACGAATTTGTGAATGCTAATAACAGTCACTTTGTAAATAATTCACCAATCTATGATTGCCACCTCTCGGGTAATTCAATTTTGGTGCTAATTAAGAGGGCAATTTTGAACCTCCAGAAGCACCAAAAAAGGAGATTCAAGCGTACTTCAAATGTTCACTTGTTACCTCAAAGATGCGTCAGGTGGAAAAACAAGGGTAGTACATAAAAATACACGAGACTTAGTCGAGGAGGGTGAATTCAAAGACGTTCTGGTCACAGGACTCTGGATCCAGTGCATAGACGGAGGTAACACTGAGACCTCGAACGTAGTCGTTGAGCTCCAAAGAGAGGAGGAGAGAGAGCACTTCATTTAGGTTGGTGCAAATATTACGCTTTAACAGCCACATTTGGAAATCGGCAAGAACGAAAGCCCGTTTCACTTCACGTGTTGGTAACCTAAGGAGAGAGGTAAAAGTCGAGGTACTTATACACTTCCAGTAGAAAGATAGATAATGGATGAAGTTGGCGGCTCACAGAATAGGCTTGCAGATTTCTGAGACACAAGCGTCCAGATGAAGAAGAGCAAAACTCTCTGCAATCCTCCACCCAGACGTCTGCCTTGTGGGAAGTTTTACTCGCAGCTCCCCACCCTCCCCTGACTCAGCTTCTATTCGCTGTCGTCCTGGTCGTTTGAGGGCCAGAAACCATATTGAAACGCGTTCTCGAAACTTGGAACAGCTGAATGCGACAGAGAATCAGATGAATGAAATAAAGTAGGGAGACGGTGCAAAAAACACTCGAAGATTATGGCTCGACATTTGAGGATTTACGTCACCACCAAGGCTCATTACTACCAACCAACAGGGACAACCAAAAGATGGGATTTAATTTACGAGAAAAGAACACCAGAGAAGACTTGCATCAGCAACAGTGGTCTGGAGATATATTCCACGTCCAACCCGTAAAGTGAGAAGACGAGAAAGCCCTGACCAAAATTGAAAACTTGATCCATAAACTCTAGAGCCATAACTGTCGTCGATATTCGCAGGTACATCAGCCTCCAAAGGCAGCCACACATTCCCTACAGTCAACAAATGTCGAAGTGTTACGAGTCCCACTCACAACAGCCAGAACCGTCAAAGGCCTTATTTCTTACAAAAATGAGCCGGTTAGATAAAATACCCGCTGTCCCATTAAACGTTAACCGCCCCACGGCTATCAATTCACTTGGTAAACGGGTCTCTGTATTTCGGCACACTCGATAACTTACAGCATTCCCCACGCAATGAAAAGTAACTCACAAATACCATGCCCACAAGATTAAGGCAAACTACGGCATAGTGTCGATGAATTTGTCCATCTTTGTTGTTAGGATCTACCGTGAACTCGGACTCCTCCCGCTGAGTCGGTGATTGGTCGACGTTATCCCTTTCACTTCTCTCCGTTTCCTCATCTTTCTCGATGCTGACAGTGAGTGGAATGAATTCACTGCATAAAAAGGGTCAACGTCGAACATGAGTTACTAGAAATTTCATACTTTAAGGTAGAGATGTGGATACACTCACGAGTGGGCACAAGCGACAGCTACCTCAGTCACACCTTCGTGGACCACGCTCCCATTGGCCAAAGGGGCGTAGCCATTCTTAGCGCTCCTGGCGAATTTGCGGCGAAAAAATACAGAGCGCTTATAACGAAAAAATAAACAAATAAAATATTGAGCTGAAATACCTATTATCTATAGGATGTGATATAATAAGCTGTAATAAGTCTGATTTTCGACAACAATTTCAAAAACATTTAGTGGTCACAAAGCATAATCATTAGATTAACTCGCACAGTTAAACGAATTGCTCACTATGGATTTGGATGAACAGAACACCTTATTATTGTTGTAGATCAAGCAGGACCGCATCGTTAGAGACACAATTGATCCAAGAGTGCAGATAATAAGGACTGCCAGCGTAAATCTATCCTGAAAATTGGGAAAAGGTTCGATGTGCTCTGAGAGGTTTGCATTATGCAACGGTCATGTTAATATTATCGTTACTTTCTATTACAGATTGGTTTAAAAAGTAAGAGGGTTCAGGTATCAGCTTCAGTTTTTCGACCCATTTCCACCGTTGAACTCCAATATTGGAAGTGACTCTGAGGGACAGCATACTTTCAAAAGTAGAATTAGAAACTACGGTATCGGTTAATTTATTTTTGGAATTGGTTGCCTTCCAAGCCAAAAAAAGAAACGCACATTTTGCGTTAACTTTTGTTCATTGAAGGACAGACGATAGTTGTGACCTACGCTGGGTGCCTAAGCTGTTAACAAGAGATAATAATTGAAAAACGGCTGGATTGCTTTAAATTTGTGGCACAATAAAACTTTTACGATCCACTATATTTTGTTCGTTAAGCTAATTGAGGGTATTTGAAATAAATGCAGTTAGGAAAGTGTTTTGAGATGGAATGTCATTCAGAATATGGAAAATGAATTCCTTTTTGTTCTTCTCTTCGTTAAATGGGATGAAATAAGTAATGATAACCAAATTAACCCAAAAGTCCTAAGACGATGATTTTTTTGAACAGACTCTTCTCAATGTACGTATATGATGATCTGATCTCGACAGCTGTGGGTCAGAGTTATGCTAGAATAGTGTCATGGATACGACGAAGGCTTTTGATTCAACTTTGAACATTACCATATTGGTGTCCGCCTATCGGTCCTACAACCCACCTATCCACTACCGCAAAGGATCCTCCCACTTACCTGCACGGTCCCATATCGGTGGAATGGATTGACATCTTGGTGGCGAACGTCATGCGAGATGATTTTCATCGAGACAGTGAGAAGGATCGGTGCCCTGGTGTGGGAGAAGCAACGATTGTCTGCCATTAAAAGCTTTTTCTTTACTAAACAGTGAAGCAAATTCTTTCAAAAATAAACTCCTCCAGCATTTTGTTAATTGAAATAGCCTCCATTATGACTTACATTGCTTTATCGACATGACTGTAAGCCATGGGTCAACCCCAAATTAATGTGACTATGTAGGTAGGTTAACTTCTGCCCACTTAAAGATTGTTGGTGTGATCAACATAGATGAATACACGTAACCAGTACCATGGACGATGGTAGAGTTGGAACAGTGAGCCAGGAAACACAGTTAGCTAATGCAACTTCTTTTGAAGTGCGTGTCTCATAAGCTCTAAGATAAGTTAATGCGTCTAGTTGACTTACAGCAGGCCAAAGATGTAAAAGACGGTTCGATTTCGTCGTGGCATCAGTCTTGCCTCGCGTTGTTGTATCAGCATTCCAATGCAGATGAATGCCGTCCACATGCGAGTGCAGTAGTAGGCGGAGAGGTAGAAGGAGAACTTAATGTAGTCGGCCAATGTGATACGTGCTGCTGGGTCTAAACCAGAGGGCAGTAAGCTCTTTAGCACTGATCAAGAGACTATTATTAGCACCGCTGATTTAGCTATGTTTTCCACATTCGATTCGCTGGTATAATACATCATAAATGGTTCAATTACTTCAAACCTTCTCAACTTCCTGATCCATTAGAGCAGGTGACCTTGACATGGTATAATCGACCTTCTAGTGAGCACAAAGAATTATTTATGGAGAGGTTAACGTGTACCAAAAAGTCATTTGCCACCAATGCTGTGGCTATCACTGAGCAAACAGCACTTGTCAATGCTGTGTTCAATTTCTATTGTGAAGAAGATGGAATTCAAGAGAAATGCATTCGAATTAGTCTACGTTAACAATTCATTTTAATGTGGAAACTACTTCGGGAAGAGGAATGGCAAGTCGATCATTCGTGTGATTGCGATTATTAATGAAGCCAACAAATGCACCACCCATTTCCCAGTTTTAAGGTTCAGACCTTGAATTTCTCTAAGATTATCTAAGGCAGGTTGACCTCGCCCAACAGAGGGTCAGCGATTGTGAACATTCCAAGCAAAAGATTAACACCCGAAAACCTCTTTTTAAATGCATTCAGGCACCACAAGAGCAATTTGTGGCTTGAGTGACACTATGTACCTCTTGGAAATCATTTAAAAAAATTTCTTCAACACGGTGCATTACCCTCATGGCAGCTAGAGCTACACTTCTTCCATTTAGTAATGAGTTTATTCAGTAAGAGCAGTTGGTTTGCGATGCTACGTATGACTCAACTTTCTTACCAAATATCCAAGACTTGAAAAAACCACACAAAACGACAACATTGGTGGTAAATATAGTGCAATCCAGATAGCAAATCACGAATCGGTGAGGCATTAGAGCCGTTTTTCGACCAGCTAGAAACACCACCCTCGTCCAAAGCTGTAAGAGATAGGAAGAACAGGAAATTCTTAGATATAAATGACTCGATTAGTTGAGCAGTAATATGACTGCAAAACCAGGGAATACCCAGTGAAGTACTTACTCCACTAATAGCACTAATCCATGAGATATAAACGGCAGTTTTCTCAAGAAAGTGGGCGTATATGGAGGGATCTGCGGAGAGCAGGAAAATAACGCACTCATAGACGAAGAGACAAGGAAGGAGAAGGAAGGTTCCTGTTCTGATGCTATCCCCCACCTAGGAAGATAACGAATCTTCAAGGCTTTCAAGCTCATGGATGAATGACAATGGTTATGAGTGACCAGTGCCTATCTTAGTTTGTCGATGCTAGTTAACATTGGCTCATCAAAAAAAGGGCTTGATTTTACTAAAATACTTCATACTACGGCATCGACCGGCTCCACTAATAAATAATGACTTGAGAAAGTTAATTTCGATGGAATATTACACGATACTTTCACCAGTCACGCCAACATAGACAAATTTGAAGCGTTCTCAAAGCAAAAGCTACGCCTGAAATCGACAAATTATCCAAATCTGCTTGATAGGAACTGGACGAATGATAATATAATGTCAAATCTCAGCTGACCCACAACCCTTCATTCGTGGTTTACATTGTTTTTAACCGAAAGATGGTATTGAGTGGTTTCAAGGTCATGCGGCAAGAAAAAAATAATTAAACAAATTTAGTTGTAAACCTCTTTTAAGACATTAGGCACAAACTGTCATTCTTTATTACAGAAGTTGCAAATAAATTATTACCTATCCTGGGAAATTAGCCACAATGCTGTTTGTACCATAACACTAAAATTAGTTTTACGCAATTTGAGGAAAAATCCTAATAACTCTCAAGGGTGGACATTAGAGAAGATGCGAAAAGGCAAGTTTGTACAGTCCACCGTAGAGTGTGGTTTAACTTGTTAATCGGCTTCCATCCACAACTTCATTGGGGAAAGAGCAAATTCTCAGTGTTATCGCAATCTACTGTTGCAATAAAGTAATGCACTAAGCTATGCATTTTGATGCGAAATACGATTTGCACTTATGAATCACTGACCAAATCCATATTTATTTCGCTTGGGACCCCTAAACACATTCATTTTTTTCCCAAAAAAAACCAAACCAGGCCAATTTTCACTTTGAATAGATACTTTTGCGACCTGACCTCGAATGGTGCGATTCTGATTCAAGGTCATATTAATCTCAGGACTGTTAAATTAGAATCGCGCAGAAATTTCTATGAGCGAAAAATTGCTCCTCCTAATCTGGATAGTGCAAGCCAATGTGATATGACGTAATGTGGAGGAAGAAAAGATGTTAAAGTTAAAGCTTGTGTCAAGCGTGAGAGAATAATCCATAGGGATGTCCTTTTATCCTCTTAAATAAGCAAGATTTTGTAAGGTTCAAATTACGTAGTAAATTATTTTGTTACTCTTGAGAATTCGCTAAATGGCTTTGGCTTCTTGTAATTACCAAGTTAGGCAGGTAACAGACGCAACATATCGTAATAGCGGGATTCGCTAAATTCATAATTGCACGAGCACGTTTTGTCCTTTCAAAATTGTTTACAAGTTGGAAAATGCCCTCCTCTAAAAATAATAGGTTTCATAAGATTGGATAAAAGTACAAGGCCATGGCGCATTCTTGTTGAATTGGGGCAGCCAAGAGACACTTCATTACTCTCCGACTTCCTACTTTTTGGTAGAAAGCTTGGAGGAGCAACATTAACTGCTGAGTTCACAGAGACGTTCGGTTTGGTATTGACAGCGTGGTAAAAAATGACTTAAAGCTGCTGTCAAGGTCTCTCCAAGGGGGTCTCGATAGAGTAGCAACATCCAACAAGTTAAAACACTCACTTTTGCTATTCAGTACGATTTGATACTGTTGTTTCTTAAAGATGGGATGTATCAGTAGAGTTTATCTGCTTCCGACTTTGATCCTAGATGCAAGGCATGCCAGGTATGGACACGGAAGGGGAAAGCATATTCTATGGCTTCCCTTTCCTACTTGTCAACAAACACACTTAGAATTTACTTACAAGATTGGGAGCCACGGCATACCTTGATGCAAGTGGTAGGAGAGTAGCACTGGCCGGAGACAGCGAGTAGAGTAGGACAAATGTCTCAGTGGTTTCATTATAAGTGTGGGCTGGAAGGAGGTTGTAAAATTTCCTGGCCAGAATTGGCATAACCAGTCTATAAAAAGGGAATAAGGCAACCATCTCGTTTCACAAATACACAGCTGGAATGTCTCATATAATAACAACTTTTCATGCATTAGGAAAAGTTCCGCCATATTAATTCCCGGTTTAATGCCAAGCTCTACAGTTATCGTGATAGCCTACTTAAAAGCCATTTCAGTAGGGACTGACACTTTAAGTGAAAGAATGGCGGCTAGCAGGGGTTTCTCCTTTTCTGAAACGCCGGTACCGACATTTACGCAAACCAAACCGAGGTAGAATAGTGCGCAGGCGGTAAAAGCCACATCTGAAATGAAAATTCAATCCTTAAGGCGCGAGCATAACTGACTAGACGTAATAATCTTCTATAATGAAGCTATTTCAATGTACTTTGCCTTTCTAATGACTTTAAAAGAAACAGAGCCGGTGCACTGACAACGCTATGGTGGCACCTTTGCCCATCGCATAACACAATGCATCAAATTAATGCGATAAGACCACAAAAAGATCACAAGGTTTCGTTGTTTAATGTTTTTCCTATATTAACTAAAATGATACTATAAAATTGATAACACATGCTTTTGACTAACAAACTGGAGAAAAGTTGTTGTCTTCACATTTGCCCCTATCTCAAGGACACAAAATCGAGTGATCTAGAGTGTACCTGCACTCAGGAAATTCACACAACAATTATGAGCTTAGTTTTGTGCAGCTCGCATGATCCTAATTTGGGCTTAATCAGAATGGTCCCCTCCGGAAGGCACTTTACCACTTTGGAGAGGCGATGAAAGCACGAACCAAAAGTGTTGGAGAAGTGGGTGAGGGAGATGGGCGGCTGATTTCTAAACGCCACATTGCAAAGCAAACCGAGACAGAAGGCGATAAGTTGGGGATCCAACAGCACTTGGCACAATATCTGAAATATAAAAGAAAACTGCTAGTTTAAATGCACAAAGGCGAGAGGCGTCCCTTTTGAATTAGGACAGGAGTAATTGTGGATGGACTGAATTTGCTGGAAGGACAGATATCGTATTTTTCTTCACTCAGATTATGTAGAAAATTTTATTTAATGAAGCGTTCGCAGTAATTCGGCGGGAAAAATTAACTGCTCCTCTACTGGTTAATTGACATCTAGGCAAACTATTGCAGTCTTGGGCTCAATTGAGGGAGGATTAAAAATTAGTTTGCCACGAACAACTCTCAACAGGAACGAGAGGAATTAAGCATAAATTCGTGTGTACTTCTCATGAAAGTAAGTAAGTGTTTGACAGTAGATTTATCCCACAAAGATTAAGGAAAAATTATGACTGTCATCTGCGGTTGGCAGTGGTGCAAAACACCTCCGCAAATTCAAATCTATGAGGCAAAGGATGGCACATGTGACACAAAGTCACAGGTGTAAACAAACAACGCTGACCTTGAAAGGAGTTCTCAAGGTCATGGAGGATGGGAAGGCGGTAGGTACGACATCTCGCAGAATTATTTGCCTTTCGCGAAAGGTGCTCAATTCAAGAAGTAGAAATGCGATTGGCTTGAGGAGCAGGATTTGAAGAGCCACTACAATGCAACAATGGCTGGCCATGCTTGGATGAAGAATTCGAACTAGAGGTCGAAAAAAATTTAAGTAAATTAGCAATTAGGACAAGAAAGAAGTCGCATCTCTCTCTATCCATTCACCCCTTTCTCAACGAACTAACTTACAATTTCAAACCACCCACAATAAATGATTTGCCTTCATTAAGCCAGGAACAAATGCGCATAGCAAAAAGAGCGGAGTTGTTTGTTTGGACAATGGTTGATGGAGCTTTTTGTGAACTTTCTATTGCATTGCTTGGCATTGCTAATCTTAAGTGTGCACTTTGAGGCAATGAAATGGCGGACCCAGAAGTCCGCAACAGCCCCCATTACTGCCAATTACCTGCCGGCTAATTTACTTAGCTACTCGAAGTCCTTATATTTGAGGTAAATTAATCAAATTACAGTCGTGTAAAGTGCAATTAACTACCTTTAAATGCATCCAAACGAAATTTAATACCATAAGAAGGCGCATAAAGTGAAGTAAGATCTTATTCAGTCACGACAGCCAACTAATAGTTTGTTCACAATTAGCCAAGCACAGAATAAGACTTCTATATCCTCAAACTTTTGCTATCTTCATTCGAATTCCTTTTTGCCTCATAAAAGCATGATCGGCTGATGGTCGTTCGAGCATTCAGCCCTCTGATTGGTTGGAGCAACAAAATGCATGTGGAATCTGTGCGATTTTCGGCTTAGGTCGCGTTTTAATTTTGCGCCCCACCTGGACCACTGTTGTGATTGGCTACGCGCTATTTATGCCTGTTTTTGCCAACTTTTGTGAACCAAAATTAGTAATCGTGCTAAAATTGTTTGCGAGTTCTAAAGAGGTTATAAATTGACCTGCATAATTCTGCTGGGCCTTGACCGGGTTTCGCCCTCATTTTGTACCATGAGGTGGGTTTTCTTTTAAAGTAAACACACGTGTTTGAAAACAAAGTATTATTGAAATTCGCGAGGCTGCCTAGAGGAAGATTCTGTATGTATCCTTACTGGACTGAATATCAGCAGTTTAAATGGACGCTCTGGAGTCGACGTTGGGGAGCACTGATACGAAACTCATACTTTCTTCACAAACGACTTTCCGCCCACGAATCAAAGCTATTTTGGGGGCAGCTGTATTGCCACCTACGCAGTATGCAGTTTGTCTCTGGATATATGGAGGTTGCGGGGAATTTACGTCAAAATCACATTCACTGTTGGCCCATAATTCAGTATGTCATTCCGCCCACTTTGACTCCACAGCGGTCCATAATATGTCCTCCTATTTAGTCCGGAATGCTGAGGATAATCTTTGTGGTCTGGTCACTGTGACTTAGCTAAGGTGGTTAGAGACGATAAATAGGCGATTTTGGGCTCTGTCGCACAGAAACTCCGAACCCGTATTGCAAAGCTGGACATCCCACGACTAAGTCCCAGCAATTATAATTGCGATCAGTCAAATTTTATGCAATAAAATTAAAGTCACTTTTGTTTGCCGAAATGGAATCACAGGATAACCATCTGCTTTCGTACACCGTTAATGCTTGGTTAAGAAACAGTGTTTCAAGTCCAAATAAATGCTTGAAATTCGGTCTTCAGTGCCCATCCTTCCTCAAGTTGGTAGGAGTTGGGCAAGTGACAGAAGATAAACTTGGACTTACATGTGGGATACATCACAGCAATGTCATTAGAATCGGTGAGCAGAAGACTGACAATAGCAGAAAGGCCCACAAATTGACCCCGCGAAATCACCAAGCAGGCGGTCGTGGACACGATTAACATTAGAAATCGAGAGATGAAAATCGACCATATGGCTGGCCATTGAATGGACTCCAAACGAATTGTCACTGTTGTCTATGCGATTAAAAGGTTGGTCAGACACAGTAAAAGAAACTGTTTAGCTAATTTGCTATTTGACTTATAAAAGGCTTAATTTTACTTAAAAAGGCATGTAAGTCCCCTTTTAGAGAAGTCTTAATCTCTGCAACGCATCTGCTTTTATCGGCGGGAGCTACTACTCATAACAATTTCAGCGACCGCATAGAGCTCAGGATTTTTTTAGTTCAATTTTTATACCGAAGATTAGGGACTTGTTACGATGTAAAATAAATTGAAACAACAGAATTGCTGCCTGTTTCGCTGTCAAGATAGAGGTTATGCACAGTTTAATTACGCAAAAGGAGTAGAAAAAATATTTGTTGAAATATGAAATGTCCTTGCAAATATAATGTATAGATATGGAACTCTTAAAAACAAGATCTTAAAGGTTATATCACCACCGAGTTGCGTATCGCCTCCACTATGTGACTCACTCACTTCTTTCCACATACACACACACACACAAATGCGCTGTGTTGGGGTTGCTAAAGTTGGAGAGACCAATTGAAAGGTAACTTCTTTTGATTACAAATTTATAAGGTTTAAATTAAATAGGCTATTTGCAGAACGAAGGATGATGATGATGAAGTCACAAACGTAGAGGCAATTGCCTACACCACCGCCTAGCAGTGCAAAGCAGGATAAAAGTATATCGTCGCCACTTTATTTTGTCTTCCTGCCTAGCCAGCAATTTAGTAATCGTAGGATTAGTGTCAAGAGCATTTGGATAATGCAAAAAAACAACACCCGAGACAACTCCCTTGACTTGAGCAGTGGGAGCACATGGCTTACGGTAGTCTGTCTAATCTAAAATTGGAAACGGTTTGTCAAGTCTCTCTCCCAGATGCCATAAAAACGTTTTGAGGGGAAGAGCAAAGGCTCAGGAGGAAAATGAAATGACGAGACATGCAAATACACACACAGATAGGCGACCCTGACGATTGGCATGTCGCTTTGCTTGTGGTTGCGTAGATGATTGAGCTGCATTGAATAGCGCAGTCCTCTCCATTACCCCCTTAAAGGCTAATATAACGTAAAAAATCCGACGATTGCGTCATAAGATGGCGTTATGGTAGTGACAATGACTCAATTAAAGCACTTTTGCCTTCTCATTTACCGATGACTACAAGGAGGAGGTGGTTGCGTTGAGTACTCCACTTTAATAATGCTAATGGAGGAATGGCATGAATTGCAAGATTTGAATGGAAAGAAGGTGCGTCGAAATCAAGTGACACCCTTTGAAACGAGTGTCACCTCATTATCGTCACTAGTCAATTGCATGCTACACTCGTGCTTTTCCACTTACTTTAGGTGAAGCGTCACAAAGGCATGCATGACACTCCCACACTCAGTAAGTTGTCGGAGACACTGAGGAGGACATATCCTGTCTGATACACTTGTGACAGCCTTCTTGACCGCAGCTGTCGTGTCTGCTGACTTAGACGACGTTAAAATGGGGATTGCTTGGGTGATGGAGGGACGAGGATAAAATGGGAAAATAAGGGGTCCACAATCTGGTCTCTTGATGGGTATGCAAACTGACATTGGTGAATAGATGAGTGGGTCTCGATGGCATGCATGGACAATTAAAAGTCAAATAACTGTTAAGATTGACTCATCGTTGAATCTGTAGGATATTTTCAAGACTCCTATACGTCCACATATAGTAGGAGCGTTTGCAGTTACCATTGTTCCATTAAAATCAAAGATTTTGGCATTTTGGTGAGCATACTTTTAGTGATTATAAAACAGAGAATCAAATAATATGCGTTTAGTTGTTTGCAGTCATTTTCACGTGTGCGAAGATGGAAGGTGGAATTAAGTACCTAAGTATAGCAAGAATCAGTATTTAATAGCAAAATTTGTCTCATTGTATCAGGATCTAGGTAAGTGCAATAAAATCGCAAAACATTGAAAGAAGTAAAAAAATATGGGCTTACGATGAAAATCAAAGCCGAAATGGCATATCGATGAACAAATCGGCCAAATCCACGTATCTGTGCCTTTGATAGTAGTCGAAAGTGTCCCACAAAAAAGCCCAAAATGATTAGTACGTAGATCGTGAGAAAGACAGAGGTGATACCAGCGAAAACATGGTTGTAGGTGGTGGAGGTATTGGTGGCATTCGCTATGAATGATGCATTGGCATGCGTGCCAAAGGTAGTAAAATTGTCGGCGCTGTAACTGGGAATCAACGAATTGGTATTCATTTGATCCTAGAAACTCCTAAAAAAAGAAAATGCCCGTTGGAAAATTTTATAACATGGGGTGTGTGGTAATCGTGTTGCGTAAACTCACTAAAAGTGTGTGTGTAAGAAAGTAAATGCAAAATAGTGTGAAGATGTTTTGCCTTGGTCGAGTCGAATAGAAAAAAATTATGAGTGCCGTTGAAGAAACGCAAAATAAGATGCAAAATAATGAACCAGGACAAGTAATTCGCCTATAGCGCTTTAATGAATGCAGATTGAAAAAAATTAAAATTTTTAACTCTAGAATTAAGTGCATATTTAAATGGCGCTAATTTTTACTATTTTTATAATCGTATACAATACATAAAGTGTTGTTGTTAATTAAAAGCAAAATATCCCGCAGAAAGGGATTTTTGTAAAGTGTTATAAAAAGGGGGAAAAATTAGCATATGGTACTTTTCAAATCTAATAGGATGAAATGAAGAGAGATTTTTGAGCTAATCAATGACGTGAGATGCATTTAACTTAATACTGAGGGATTAGAGTGACAAATAATTTGACTTGGCACGCTAATCAAAGCTTTCTATTCCAAACATACCTTACGACATTATTAAATGCAGTACAATAAAATACCGCGCAAAAGTCACTCTGCACTGAAACTCAAAAGAGGCTGCAAGGTCAGCAAGCTAAAAAGCAGACGTGAAAAATATCCGAAATGTACAAATTTTGTATTTAGCTCTGCAGACCACAATTTTAACTCTACAACCCCTTTTTAATGTTTGGTTAACAACCCGGTTTGCATTGACAAATATCTTCTAAAATAAGGTAATGATTAAAAGACTGCATGGGGAGATAATGGGAGATAATGGGGAGATAAGCCGAAAATAATGGATTACATATGCGTTCAAATTCTAGTGCTAAGTATGAATCTTAACAACATAGTGTCCTGATACTTAACACTTGGTGGAAGAGGACTCTAAGTTGGGCTGAGTGCATATATTAAAGGTGATTAGGAGTGATTTATGCCTTGGTCTGGTCTGAAGTCCAACAGCGCTTATAAAAAAAAAACAAAAACCATCGCAACTTTTAGGTCTCAGACAGTCGCAAAAACAAATAATTATAAACATGTCTCATGTTTCAGACTACGCAATATTGTTGCTGTGAAAATCACCATTGGCGGCTTGGTTAAGAAATGATAGTTTGGGTGTCTGCCTTGCATGGAAGCTGTAGGTACACAGGACTTCCTTCTAGGTAGAATGATGAACTAGGTAGAGCTATATGCTTGCATGCAGAAGGAAGAACAAATGTTGAATATTGACTAGACCCAAGGGCAATAAACTGCAGCTAAGTGAAAAATGAATATTATTAATCGAGTTAGCTCCATAAGCAATGTATTACATTGATACAATTGTTTTTGAGCTACGTTTCCGGCGGTTTCCTCAGTGTACATGTTGCGCTATTTATTGCTCTGTATCTGGTGTTGCTGATAAGTATTACGATTTTGACGCGCTGGTTATTAATGCCCATGATAATGAAGGAAATTACTTGGCCGTTCTGAAAAATTAAATTGGCAATTGTATCTGTTGACCATCACATATGCCCCTGGCAGAACGTTAAGACGACTTATACAGATGCGTAAAAGAGGGGAAAGCTCAAACGGAATACCATGTGGAAGGAGGGGCAACTAAGCTACGAAACTCTGTATGATAATTCAGAGCGGTGTAGCATTAGTTACTAACATTTTGTCCGTATAACATAGGAGTGGCAGTGTGCCAAGAGATAAGAGATTCTCCATCCACAATATGCTCAATTCATTCACATCACGGGAGTTTACCCCAAACAGTGGAGCTATAAATATAAGCCGTAGCAAACAATTATGCATTCTGTTATTTAATGGAAGGTTCTGATAGTCGCGTCCGATACATCTCAATATGTAAATAGGGCTTTAAGTTGGGCTAACTCCATATATTCTAGAAGGGAAGAGGAAATTTGGCATTGGCTTGTACCGAGTGCAGCCCACGAGTACACGGGCAAGAGGGATACCAAAGTCCCCGCCAGACATTAGGCGATCCCATATACAAAGTGGTGCATTGCTCCGCTCTCATACTGAGTGTTGTCCCAATGTTCCAATTGATAAACCTTCAGTGCCATCCATCACAAAATATCCGGTGTGATGCTATGTACTACTTTGGTATCCGTCTTGTCCTTGCACTTGTAAGCTGATCTTTGGACCAAGCCAAGACTCAAACTCGATGCCTACTTCTAGAGTACATGCAATCGGCTCAACTTAATGCCTTCTTTTACCAGTTACCCTTTTGCACTAAAGTAAATCAAACGGGACTTCTTGATAGCATTAGCCTATTTTGTTTTCAATCCGGTCTATCACTGGCACTGTGCCGATTCCACAAGCAGAAAATTAATACAGTAAAAAAATCAACACCGTTTCCTGGGAATATGCTTTGCTTACTCTACAAGGGCATTAGCAAAGACCCTGAAGATTTCATACAAAGAGGAATTAAGTAGTTAGAGCAAGTGGAATGGAGCGCATGGTTTAAACTAGCATGTCATGCTTTCTCGGTGTTGCCAACATTGATTAAGCCCTTTTAACAGCCTAGGAGCGGTAGTGAATAATCTTCTTAGACATTTACAAACTTACAGATTGCCACGGTTATATATTGGGAAGATCAAACGGCTTTCCAACTAGGTAAGTTGTTAATAACACGGTCGATGTCGTGGGGCGCATCTCTGTAACTGGTACAATGCATGAAGACTACGATACCGATTTTCAGGCTAAGATTGAGAAGCACCGCAGATGAGAGCTAGGCAATACAACCTTAACTACCAATCAAATCTTATTTAGTTATACGTGGTGCACTAGAGCCGTCTGTACACCTGTGCATGCACACTTTAATAGCCTTATTTAAGAAATACAAACGGCGGATACTAACGTAGAAGCTGTGACAGGCCCGAGTTCGCTGACTTCTGCAACCAGTGTCGCGATTCGAGACGTCCCATTCGGTAGAAGAAGGTAGTAATTTAGGCATATCACATGAATTCTAGGAGGAGACGGAGGGATTGGACCTTGGCTTGACTCGAACATCAGCTCACGTGTACGAGGTTAAGACGGATGCAAAAGACCCGCCCGGCACCAGGATCCCATATAAGCATAGCGGCACACCAAAAGGCTGCAACATTTGTCCCATGTATTCTCTATTACATTATATTTTGAAATTGTTTCCAGCTAAACATTTGCACCAAAGTGAGAAATTCCAAAATAAAAATTTGTAATTGCAACAACTCAAGACTTTACTTGGCAAAAAAGGATGCAGGCTTAGTGTACATCGAATAAACGAGGTGAAGAGATTCGGCTTAAACTTATCCCCAAGGCCAAGTGCCAACATCATAATAACTGTGAGATAACAGAAGGAAAAGTGTGTAGCGTTCCGAGACTTCCCATAGGGCGGAAGAAGGCGGTGAATGAGGCTGGATACATGTATTATGATAACAATAGGACAAATGGACCTGAGCATGGCACGAATGCAGGCCCCACGTGTACAAGGACCAGACAACTCCTGAAGTGACTGCAAAACGTCAGGTGGTCACACAAGTAAAGAATTGCAAAGTTAACAAATTATCAAAGTCTGAAGTTTAGTTCTGCACGTCGAATACGCCTTTTATTGACGACTAACAAGATCGTATCTGGGCAAATCCGAAAGCAAAAAATTCTTCTATTGTCAAAAGAGACGAGTTTTCTATGTAATGCAGTGCCTGTCGACCCAAGGCGAGCATCGAGCCCCATATTATCTGCCATTATCATTAACACTTTTAAGCATATTCACTTACGTCTTTGATTATAATCTTATGTTTAATTTAGGCTTTTTATGAAAGCGTTGCTTTAAAGCATATTAAAACCGGCGTATATAATAATTAAATGTTCTCCATTTTTAGTCTAACATGGTTGACGTATTGAATATAAAAGATATTTTGTTTTGAGTGGTATTGTAATTAGGCGAGTTTTCGAATACATTATTTCCGCGGAATCTGTGCCTTTCTAAAACTTCACTCTTTTTTAAACCTTTATAATGATTCTCATCAGACCTTTCCACTCGGCTGTGAAAGATATTGTTCTTGCTCAACTTTTGGCTAACAAGGAGTACCAACAACATCGTGACAAGTGAAATATTTTCTTGTTAACATATATGCACTTAATAATCTGATATAATCTTTAGTCATGCTTAAGTAATATGCTCAATTTTTGTCATAGGTCTTCAACCGTTCCAGATATTGCTGAAAACGTATCTGATTTCGATGGAGTACTTTACTCTATTGTCCAGAAACCCGACAGCAATATCCTCACCGTCAGCATTTCCCTTTCTTTTTATCAGGAGATCGAAAAATTTGGTGACTCCAAGGTGCCATCTTTTATTTTTGATATTTCTTTCTCTAATCAAGGTGCTTGTTAGGGAATATGGAAGTTATCTTAAACCTCGTGCGGAATCTGGCACTTCGGTCACACTTGAATTCGATTGCAACCGTCTTCCCAGCGATTTGGAAGCGGTTGCCACGAAAGCTGCCCTGCTTCGCCGCAATTGCTTTGCCAGTGTGTTCGAGCACTTCTTTGACTATCAGGTTGCTAATGCTTCGTCAGCTTCGGCCAAGGTTCTCCAGGGAACCATTCATTTCCGTCCCGATGAAACTATGTAAATTTCTATTGAATCTAGTTAAGCAGTAACTTTAGCTGTGATTAAGTTGGAACTTCTCAGCCAGTTATCTAATTGTTTAATCTATTTTTTTAGTGAAGCACCTAGAAACTTAGTCCTTTTTCCTCTCAGTCTATGGTGATTTGATAATCATTGGACGCTCTTTTAGATATCCTATTAAGACTCCACAAAATCATAGTATTTTCATGTTCGTAAATACCTGATTCTAAAATTCGGGCCTAGACGATCAGCTTCCAATCTCTCGTCTTTTCGTCATCTCTGCAGGTTCGTACAAGCCATGTCGGATCGTGTGACTGTTATCTTCAGCACTCGATTTAAGGACCCTGACGATGTTGTTCTAGGCAAGGTCTTTCTTCAGGTATGCTCTAAGACGATGCTCTACGGTGATACCCTTTGAATGATAACAATTGGCCACCTATCGAGTTTCCATCTCAGTAATCCTGCTTTTACACAATGCATTCAAATTCGGCCATGAGTAACCCTTCCAGTTTCAAGGTCATGGCCTTGTCATTAGAACCATGAAGCCACGTAGAACCGGCGCGCGAATTACCGGCTTACAGTCACACCCACGTTGACTGGTCAAATAACGTAACCTGTAGATCGAGTGATGGTTATTGTTTGCTCGCACTTAGCTTCATTCCATTCGTGCTGCTTGGTGCTGAATATTCGTGGGGGTGAGCAGTGCTACGGATATTGATATCGGTGACCCCTTTGTGATGGTGATGATACGAGTAACGAGATAATAAAGACAGTTTTGCGAATGACTGAAGGATTGTTGGTACAAATTTATGCCAATATTTTGGAGTCCATTTTCCGGAAGCGCTAAATAGCATTTCATTTTTTGCTGGCATGAAAAGCCACTCCTGTACACCATGATCGATACTCCGATTAGAATACTCAAGTTAGAAAACGAAGTCTTCATTGCTAGTATTGTGGTGCCGCGGTGAGCAGTTTCCTGCAGGCTAGGAGGGTAGGATACCACGATGGTTGTAGTTTAGATGACTTTGACCTTATCGTGACATTCACACCGATTGGAGTGGTGAGTTCAACTAGAGCGCAGGAGAAGATATGTCATGAAGGGTCCATAAATGGGGAATGTTTATCTTGAGAGGTTGTGTATGTTCAGGTAAGTCTGTCTCCTATGGAATGGCAGTTTTGAGAACTCATGTGCTTTCTATCGCACAACTATTATTGTTTGAGTCTATTTTTTCCTCACCTAGTAGTTTTCCGTCGACCTCCAAATTTTTTTCGGATAGTTTATAAACACTTGTGACATTGGTGACACTTTTCTGACTGATGGTGGCGATTTGTAACCATGCACAACTCCTCTTCTAAGGTTTCAAGTAACGCGGCGTCAATGGTGGATCTAAAGGCTTCAAAAGGTGCACAATTTGCACTGGGTAACGTTTTGGTTTTTTAGGAATTTGCCGAAGTAAAACGTCGTTTCGACGGAGCCCCTCAAGTCATCTACCAACCTCGAGACCCACCAAAAGAGCTTCAAGGCACCGATGCAGCTTCCGGCGAAAATATCGTCTACATCACTTTTAGTACGTCACTCTTCCACCACTAATCCGACCCATTCATCCATCAACCCGATGTATGCTACTTCATTCACAATCCATTGATTTTTTTTAGGTAAAAAAAGCTTAATGTACAGTTCAACTATATTCTTACCCTAATTTTTAGTTCTTTCGCCGCGACACGCATCACCGCAATTTCGGGCAAATACGATCGACCTTATTCACCTAATGCGTACCTACATGCACTACCACATCAAGTGCATGAAGGCCTACTTGCAATTACGGATGCGTGCCAAGACAAGTGAATTCCTCAAGGTACTCAACCGCGCTCATCCCGATTCGGACGTCATAGCCTCAAGGAACTATGCTGTTAATGATTCTGACCCATCGGGCATTCAAATGCTGGGATCCTCCGCTAGGTTGGTGATCAATTTTACACTAGTCCAGCGATAGTTATACTATTATTGGCTAACTAATGTGGTCTTACAGTTCCGAGGGCATAGCCAGGTAATGGATACGATCAAAGTAATCAGAATTTCTGTTTTCTTTTCTATCTGGCGGATGATTTACAATGCGCCGAATCAACAGGATATGATTTCATGCTTAAAATACCACTTTCTTTTCATTTTGCGCAATCGTATTTTGCGTTTTAGTTTCCGTGTTGTGCGTCCAAGCTGAGGAGTTTCAGTTTGCCTTTGATTAATGCGGTCATGCTACGAATAATTCTTTTAACAGTCTCGATATATTAATGGTTGCCTGTGTGTTTCTTCTGTTCACGATGGGATGCTCAATTTTCCTACCTTCTTTGCATACCAATATGTGATTTGTCTACTCTAATAAATACTAATACCTTTACCTGAAGGGATTACCTGGAAAAGGCGACGCCGATGTGGTACCTCTCGGAGGCAATGCTAGTTGAAGCGTTGTACCGATTTACAAATAGTTGTTGTGTGGGTCAGCGCAAAATCGCGCATCTCGTAAATTTAGCAGTAAAGGTGTTATACTTCTGGGTTGGGCCATTAAGTTAATTCAAATTCGGGCATTAGGTATTGTAGCGTCCCGAGGCTTCCAATGGAGTAGTAGAAGGCATAAGTGGGGTTGAATACATGTATTCCGAAAGCAATAGGAGAAATGGGGC